GGGGGGGGGGGGGGGGGGGGGGGGGGGGGGGGGGGGGGGGGGGGGTGTTCTCACCTTGACGAACTTAGTGACGGACGTGCCGAAGTCGTCGAGCAGCTTCTTCGCCGTGGTGGACCCTGTGTGGTCCAGGTGTGCCTGGATGAAGCCTCTGAGTTCCTCCATGTCCTCGGGGGTGTCCACCTTCTCCAACCCTACCATGCCCATATTGCAACGGGCAGGGAACTCGCCCTGTGCCACGTTTCGGTTTGTTGCGTGATTTTGAGGAAGAGAAGCGGGGGGAGCAGAGCGGGGGTAAGACGGCCGGGGAAGATGGGGAGGAGGGATACTGCATGAAACACTTACACACGCGCGGCGACAGCGGTATTGAAAAAAAAATCAAGTGATCGATGGATCTATCGGCATTGCAAGATCGCACCTCAGGGTCGTAGATCCAGGCCGTTCCCCCGCTCATTCCTGCCGCGAAGTTCCTCCCAGTGGGCCCAAGGCAAACCATGTTGCCGCCCGTCATGTATTCGCAGCCGTGGTCTCCCACACCCTCGACGACCTGCGGATTTGCCAACACCGACAGAGAAAGTAGATCGTGTGACACAAGGAAGCTACAAGAAAAGGGTAAATGGCGGGCAGCAGGAGCAGCAGCAGCAGCAACAACAACAGCAAACAAGTAAACAATCAAACATACATGCATGCATAGGCACCAACAATTTCCGTTTCACCGCACGCACCGCCAAGGCCCCGGAGTTGCGCACGCAGAATCGCTCCCCGGCCAATCCGCGGAAGAACGCGTTACCAGAGGTGGCCCCGTACAAGCACACGTTGCCTGCCGAAGAGGTCGTCGTCGATAGCGCATGTCCAGGACGGGTGTTTCGTGATTTTGGCGAGCGGGGGGGATAAACCACACACAACAGTGCAGGTCAGTTGTAGCAAGAGTCGAAACAAGCCTCGGCGTATCATGTGTGCGATATTATTGTCGCCGCTAAGGGGTCGGGTCGGCGAAGCATGCACAGGAACATGTAAATGTGAGAAGGCCATAGTTCAGCTGGTGAAAACTAAATACACTTGAGAGAGCAATGATGCCCCGCCGGAATAAAAAACACCTCAGGACGATACAAAGGTATGAACCAGGTTACAATCCAATAGAACATCCCATGCCCCGCAATTCCATGCACGGGTTTTGTGTGATTGTGCCTGTCTCACCGACGATCACGTTGTCCTCCGCGACGAAGCCCTTGTCCAGGGCCTCGGCCTTGGGGTACACCACCACCTTGCCGCCCGAGAGACCCTTGCCCACGTAGTCGTTTGCGTCTCCCTCCACCTGCAACAGCCACAAACGACCAAGTTGATTGGGTTAGGGCAAGAGGCGTTGGGGTCGCACCGCAAACAATGTGCACAACCACTAAAGCCTGAGTTTGTTTCGTCCGATCGATGATAATGATACGACAAAAACGGCAGCGGCAGTGAGGGTATCGTACAAATGTAGACATGTACATGAAAAATTTCACTCCAGAAAAATGACATCATTTGGGAGGGTTGCGTCTTTCCTCCTCCCCGAAATTTATTGTCGTATTTCGGTGCGTCATGTTCTTTTGGCACGGTTTTCCGGCCCCCAAAGCAGTTTTTAAGTTAGTTTAGTGCGCCTTGCAGCATCAACAGCAAGACGCCGCCATCGCCGTATGCGGTACAGAAATCAGGTGCTGGACTACACAACGGTAGCGGTGAACTGAAGCGCGCGCAGTAACACAGGGCAGCGGCACCCAGCAGCTGCAAGAAGAGCCTCGCTCACCTCTAGGAAGACTCCCTTGGCGAGAGTGAACCCGAACGACTGTCCGGCGTGTCCGTCGAACTTCACGTGGATGGTGTCCGGGGGAAGGCCCGCCGCACCGTACCTTTTCACAGTCAGAAAAAAAAGCAGAAATGGGAAAGGTACGGGGAGGAAAAAACGAATGAGAGCAGGAAACAGATATAGGAACAAGAGTGCCAACAAGCTTGAGAAACAAGCACAGCGTCAAGAACAGAAAGTTTGCTTGTCCTGGTCGCAGCAAGAGCGCGTACAGGACAAACACACGGCAACCACGTACACCCACATGCATCCATGCCTGCACACGGTTGCTTCTAGTCTGAGAGCGGGCACGTCGTAGCCTACCACCAACAGATTTAATAAAATAATCCCTACAACACATCCTTCGGAACGAAAAGCGTAGCAGTCGCCGTTTGTCTTCTCTCGCCAATATCCGACCGAGTGTCTTTCGACCTCACCCGGGAAAACGATAACGACCACCAACCCCCTCCCCTCCCCCTTACGAGCTTTGCAACAACAAAAACCAGAAAACTCTCTCTCTGTCCCTCTCTCCCTCCCTCCCGCTTTCGTTCTCACTTGGTAGAGATGGCATTCGACAGGATGGTGCCCGTGGTTCTGTCCAGGTTGTTGATGGGCATCTTCAGGGACACCGGTGTCTTTTTCTCGAGGGCGTCTTTCGCCTCCTCCATGATCTTAAAGTCTATCCGCTGGTCGATGCCGTGGTCCTGTATCCAAGACAGCGGGGGCATCGGAGATGTGTTGGACCCATGCATACCTTAAATAAATGACGAATCTACATGCTGGGTTGTGTTAACATCTGCCTCTCGCTCGCTTGCTCTCTCTCTATCTCTCGCCTGCTCGAAGCTCTTGGAGACGCCAGAGTGGTTCTCGTTGAGAGAGGTGGCCGGCGTGAGCAGCGCGCTCAGGTCGAGCCCTCTGCTCTTGTAGTGGAGCACGTCCGGGTTGATCTCCAGCCTGTCCACGCGGCCGATCATCTCCTCCACCGACCGGAAGCCCAAGGTGGCCATCATCTCCCTGGACGTTCGTGTTTTTCATAGATGGGGGGAAAAGGCCGGATTACACATGTGCATGCGTATGCAGCATTTGTCGCGAAATAGTTGTGGGCGTGGATGCGATCGTAGTGCAAGCTGACATGTTTCTCGTTTTCCTTGTGATGACGTGAATGATGTGAATTATTGCATACGTTGGTGTCGTGATGCCGAAGACACGAGAGCGGCCTTGCTCACGTACACCACTGCCGTGGGAATAAAAAATAGACATCGACGCATCAATCGATTGTATAGGTACTGGTGTGTGAGCAGATTCACGAAAAGCCTTACCAGTCAAATACATCGAACCCGCACTTTGAACACGCTCACGCTTGAAATACCAACTGCTGGCCATCAGCGGGAGGCGGAAGCGAGAACATCGGGTTCGACGACATGGCGAGATCGATCGCACAAGTATCCTCCACCACCACACGCCCTCGCTCCATGTTTCTCGGGACGAAGCATACTCGTGGAAGCACGACGTACAACTTCACACAAGGAAAATACGCTAATAACACTGTGCAACAATATCGGCACTGCACCACCGCCATGACCGCCGGCATGAGCCTCACCTAACCTCCTCGGCCATGAGGTAGAAGAAGTTAACCACGTGCTCGGGCTTGCCCGTGAACTTCTTCCTCAGGATGGGGTCCTGGGTGGCCACCCCCACGGGGCAGGTGTTCAGGTGGCACTTCCTCATCATGATGCAGCCCATGGCGATGAGAGGGGCCGTCGAGAAGGCGTACTCCTCGGCGCCAAGAAGGGCGGCGATAACGACATCTCGCCCTGAGTTTTAGTTGTGTTCAGTGCACGTGGCCGAGTGAGAGAAGCGGAGAAGATACCGACGCAAACTGCACGGTGGGTGAACAAGAGCACACAAAGAAATAGCACATGATGACACAACATGACTTGGGGGTCTCAACAGTGCACCAACGTGCCGCTGCTGGACCATCTACATAATACAGACCGGGCAAAATATCCTCCCCGTCAACTGGATTTCGCCATCGAGTGGAAAAGGAGCAAAAAGTTTTGAGACACAACACACACAACCTCTATCAACAACGACATCACGAAAAAAACGAGCAATAAGGACAGCAAGATGGTGAAGAGAAAAAGTTCAACCCACAACATGACGAAACCACACATACCACGTCTACAACGCCCTCGCCCCCGACACAGGGACCACCTACGCGAAGAATGCAAGGTTACTACGAAAAAGACTAGCGAGAGGGCACGCAGACCCAAACCCTAACCCCCAACCCCACCTTGGCTGATTCTATACTTTATCTAGTACGTTTTCTTACACTGAACAACCTGCATAAACTACGGCGACACAATGAAATAAAACAACACATTTGCGGTTGTTGTTGTTTTTCTTCACATTAACTCGTGTCAGTTGCTAATCCCAAAATCTAGCAAAGACTCGGTCCGTGGTCACAAAAATGCTAGAGCCATCAGAAGATCTGAAGAACACACACACACTATTAGCAAGGAAAGGGTACGCAAGCCCGAGGAGGTTCACCTGCAATCCCTGCAGCGCGTTTGCGTGCTCACAACTGAACTACACGCCCACACACTACAAATCGACTACAGCAGCAGCATCACCCCCCTTGTCCCGCATTTAACCAAAATGAATGTCGACTACAGCGTAGTGCTGTCTGAAGTGCTGGTGCTGTCAGAATGAGCCCGTGGACATACAATGAAGAAGAACGCCCAACCAAAGCCATCATTGCAATTGACAATCACCCGAATCTATCCAGATCATCTGTGTTAGGCACAGCAGTGTAAACATCGACACTGACCAGGAATCGTTCCACATTGAAGGGGTCTTCCACGATGCAGGCTACACAATCAAGGCACCTGGGTTATCCGCGCCATCTCTGCCGCGTCTCTCTACAAAACCAGTGACGTACTACAACTAAATAGATATCATGCAATGCAAAAGGTCAATGCCGCCCTTGAAGTTGGTCACGCACCGTTCTTGAGCTGGCCATCTGTCTGCAGTCGTACGCGCGAGCGAAGGTCGTTGAGGACCAGCGTCTGCTGCGCCTCAGCCACCCCGAGCTCCCACGGGAGGCCGGCCCCCTTGATGGCCGTCCACACCTTCCACACGAAAAAAAAAAAGGACGACACGCAGTATGGGATGGTACATGGTTAAGCAACTATGAAAGATTAGCAGTAACCCGAAGGGCAGCACTGCATAAAAAAAAGGCACAGGTTGATAGCCAGGGGCAGTGTCGCACCGCCCGACAGCTATCCATGCGTTCGGTTGTGGAAAAAAATACCTACACACATGTACAGGAAGATGGCACGAGAGGTACGAAACATTGTTGATGAAGGTCAACGCTTTCTCGTGACAAGGAACATTATATACCCATTGAAGAGGCGCGCATGCTGCGACTGCTGTGAGATTGACCTGCACGAGAAACCCTACGACTCGCACAAAAACTCTCCTAGCCTTGGGGGGGAAAGTGTGACAAAATGCCGGGGGGGCTGTCCACAAGGAGGAATGTTAACCTTCATGACCACTCTTCTTCCTGCTCGTGTAGTGTAAGGGGGAAGGCCACACACGAGTTACTAATAGTTGTGTTCTCCGCCTTCGTTTGGCCGTGCTGACTGCAACCGAAAACTATCACATGGCCGGCCACCGGAGGCTGCGCTGGGCGGCAACGGCACTTACCGCTGCGCCAGTCCCTCCGTCGTGCCCGGAGACGGTGATGTGGTCCGCCTTGGCCTTGGCGACGCCTGCCGCAACAACGCCGACACCCACCTGTAAAAAGCACATTATCGCCAACACAAGGCACGAAAACCCGTTGGTGGGAAGAACGAATCGGCCGTAGTCAACAACAGGAGAGAGAGCCAAGAAATACCAATAGCGTAAACGAGAGTAGCCAGACGCACAGCAGCAGTGCGGCGCAAGGCACGCGGAAAGCTTGCTTCCCTCCTGCGATACCCACCCGTGCTGCCTGTGGCGGCATGTGTGCCAAACGAGCAAATGTTTCAGAGCCGAGAAAGCTTGCGGATGTTCTGGTTACACCCACCCGTGCTGTCACACGAACAAAGGTACGAAAGCGCTCGCCCCTTGCCGCGGATGTAACTGGCAACCTCCGCATCAGGAGGCGCCGATTAGGCACGAACACGTACACGTACGCACCTCTGACACTAGCTTGACGGACACCTCCCCCTTGGGGTTGGCGTTCTTGAGGTCGTGGATCAGCTGCGCCAGGTCCTCGATGGAGTAGATGTCGTGGTGAGGGGGGGGGGAGATAAGGCCCACCCCCGGAGTGGTGTGTCGGTTCTGGGCGATGTACTTGGTCACCTGCAAAACAGAAGAAAAAAAGGACATCGATCGATCGGCAAGAAACAGACAGACGATACACACGGTAAACACAAGGATGAGGGTGTGTGGGCGGGCGGGGGTTGAGGACTCAGACGAGCGTAACGTGCGAACCGAAGAGTAATGCCAGGGAGACATTTGTCCTGAACCAGGAAAAGGGAAGACAAAGCTCACCGCGGCAGCAGTACATGTGAAGCGTGATCCTCAAAAGCCGAAAATCTCACACGCTTTCCTAGATTGGGGGCGAGCGCTTTTTATCCTTCGTCTCACCATCATTTTCATGGAGTTGAGTTTTCAATCTTCGACGTATTTCTTGCACAGCAGTGCCCCGAACGACACAACCAGAAGATATCGTCCAACTTCTCCCCCTGACGCCCAAACCACTTTCTACCCCGACTGCGGGGACCTGCGGGCTTTACCCTCCTTGGGGACACGCAAAATCACTCGACCCTCCACCGATGCTCCGTCCTGTCATGGCCAACGCTCTAACACCTAAGGAATGCCAAACATGAGCAACCCCGCGTGCTCCGTCCCGGCGTTGTAGGTATGCAAGGTCAATGGTCTGACGACTACGCATGCGCGGCTATGAGAATACCTCCTGCCGACACACACTCGCCTTGGAACCGGGGAGCTCGCCGCCCTCTCCAGGCTTGGCCCCCTGCGCCATCTTGATCTGGATCTGGTCCGAGTTGGCGAGGTAGTTGGACGTCACGCCGAAACGCCCCGAGGCCACCTGCTTGATCGCCGACCGCCGGTTGTCCGTGAAGCGCTCGGCGTCCTCGCCTCCCTCTCCGGTGTTGGAACGCCCGCCGATCTCGTTCACCTGTCAAATGTTGTCGTCACATTGAAAACCTTCTGGCATTACTAGTCTAACACACGACGCGGTCGATTCCCGCGGTCACGATTCCTGCGGCAACCTACCCCACGAAGGTGTACGAAAACAAAGTGGACCCGGAGGGTCCGCAAATCAAAAGAAATCAACGACAGATAGTATACAAGTTCATAAAACAGTTTTCGTGGCTCATTTGGTTTCCGGTTTCCAACATGAAAAAACAACAATGTGGTGCACGCTTGCTGAAAAGCATCATCTGGAGTACTCCGTACGGTTGGGGCGTGGGCGTGGTCGTTCATGAGTTGCGCCAAAAGGGTTATGCAAAAAAAAAAAATGCAAACATCGAATAACATGAGCAAGTGTGCGAAAACCAAGAATCTACAGCAGTTGAGGATTGAGTGACACCTGCTGAGTAGTGGACTCAGTTGACTCAATTTCAGGTTCCTTCCGACAATCGCTACCGCTACCAACACCGGCCGTGAAAGGCCTGCCCCTCCGCATCTTTCGAGACTTTCCATCACGTCTCCTGCTTCTTTGCTCTCTTGTCAGCGTCCCCACTCTCCAACACAGCTGCCTCTATAGCTGTGTGCGTTTCTTGGGTAAGTGATTTCTCTCTCGATTTTCTCACCGCCTGCGCCAGCGTCTCGTGAGTCTCGCGCGAGATGGAACCGAGGGACATGGCCCCGGTGTTGAACCGCTTCATGATCTCGCCAACCGGCTCCACCTCCTCTAGTGGAATCGACAGCGACGGCTCGTCCTTGAACCGAAGAAGACCCCTATTCATAAAAAAAAACACCACAGAGAATGTACAGTAGCGGCCGATTTCACACCGATCAGTCCGAATGCAAAAAAGGCAGGGTAATGACTCTAGCGTGCAGTCGTCGTTGGACGGGCCAAGACGGACAAGACCAGGCTCGTGCGGTGTAGGAATGGGAAAAGGAGCGCGAAGATAACGTTAAGACAAAACGCGTGCAGACATTTACACAAACGTTCTCTGCCGTCCAACCCCACGTTGATTCTTATCCGCTGATATATACTGATACCGATGTCTTTGAATCAGACGGTTGGTACCGCGGTTGATGCTAACTAACGCAACGAACGCACGAAAATATTGTTATTGTTATGCGTAGGAGAGTGGTACGGGTGGAGATGAACCGGTTCGAGAGCAACCTTGTCACGCACCTGAGGGCAACGCGCTCGGTGGCAGAGGTGACGGCGTCCGAGTAGCTCTTGTAAGCTTCGCGAGAGTTGTTCCGCGCGGCCATCTGCATGGGGGCGGGGCGGGGAGGGGGGGGGGGGGGGGGGGGGGGG